AATAATATAATTTTTTATAAATATAATAATTAAACATTTTGTTAGAACTCAATGATTATCTTAATATTTTAAATTTTCTATATTTAAAATGGATGCTTATCAAGTATTTTATTATATTTATTTGAAGTTAGTTACACAAATTTAAAAATAAAGCTTTAATAAGTTGTACCTACACAAAATTACTTGTAATCTTGAATTTTAAGTAATATGCATCAATAAACAATACTCCACACATAAAAAGTGGGTTTTAAGAATTTTTGTCAAATACTTTATAATATAGTACAATAATTGAAAATCAAATATATTTGTTTTCCAAGAATAAATATATGCACATTATATGTATTTATATACAGTATATACATGATATATTAGATAAGATAAAATTTTAATCGGGTCGGAGCATAATTATGGGTATTTAAATGAAACAAATTATTAATCACTTTTAATATGTGTTAAAACCAACATAAACGAGACCAAAATTTCAAAAACCAACAAAAAGCAAATTCCAACTGAACAAACTGAAAGTAAATTAATTGGATAATAGTTGAATAATCATTAAATGGATGACTGAATGGTCAAAGGATGATTAATTGGATGTTGGTTCGGTTTGTTTTGATTAGTTTTAGACTACCATCAAAGAAAAGATCGATCCAAATTGGATGTTGAAAATTTCAATCTGGTCCGTTTAAATTACAATTGATATCAAATTATGGTTGGTCAATTTTAATTGGATCGGTAGGTTCCAATTGAATCAGTTGATTTTCTACACACTCCTATCCAATTCTAGTCGTATCAAATATTAGACAGGTTCATGTCCAGTTCAATCACGTCCCATACAGTCATATTCTCTCATTATATCCAATCTAGTCATGTATGCGTACCAAAGGTTATATAAAGGTGATAAGAATGCAATAAAAAGTTTAGGGGCTGTTTGTAGCATATTTTGATATTATAGGTATGCTAAGTGTAACATTCTGTTAACTCTGAACAAAAGAGTTCGCGCTCTCTAATACAAAAGTTTCCCACTCTCATTTTCCCTCCTTTCACGTTCCCCTCTCTCTCCATTTTTCTAGGGTTTCCAAAACCCCCAAATCTTACACCCGGTAAAGATCTGTAATTAGCCTTCATCGTATCAAAATTATGGCTATGAAACTGACGGAAGGCGCAATATCGCTGTTATCCACTGGGAGATGGGATACGCCGGACGTGAAACCTGTGCTTCAAGTGGTGGATATTCGGACTGTTCAGACGCAGACTCCTCCAGCCGGAGGTGTAGAAAAACAGGAGAGGTACCGGCTTTTGTTATCTGATGGATCGTTTCATCAGCAAGGGATGCTTGCTACTCAGCGTAACGACTTGGTTAGATCTCAGCAGTTGCAGAAGGGCTCAATTGTTCAATTGACCGAGTTCGTCTGTAATACGATCCGTGACCGCATGTACGCACTATCTTTATTCGTTTATGATTCCTTATGTATGTGTGAAGTTAATGTTAGTCGAAGCTTTCCAAGGAATTGAAGAAGTAGTTTCTTTTTCATCGATTTTTCAGACCGATTAAGGTAGTAATTCTTTTGTGCATGTGATCTTTCACATAAAAATTCACCTATTATCTAAAAAACGGAAGAGGCTCGCCTGAGATATAGTTGGTGGCTTTGTGAGGCGACACACAAACAAATATATGTATCATGCTTCTTCCTAATATTACTCTTGTTACTGTAAATAGAATTTTGAAAGATACTCGATGGATTAAAAGAAATGTCTTTTTTTCCTTCTTTTGTATGGAAGAGAAGTGCACTTTTTAAATGGGTAAGGTGTATTTTATGGTGTTAATACACCTTACCCATTTACGTTGTAGATTCTTGCCAAACGCTTTATACATTCGTATGCTTTGTTCCATGATAGCAACTAACATTTTCACAGAACACACGTTTATATGCTGTGTTCCATGATATCAACAAACATTTTCACAGAACATATCAGTTTATCTAGCCGTAGTTGATCTTTGAAATTGAGAAATGTGTTTGTTATCTTTTATGATAACTTCAATTAGAGGTGTCGCCTGTCGCCTTTGAAGATGCTCATGAATAAGAACTGTTCCATCTATAAATTTTCAGTTTAAAGAGTGAGAATCTACATGGGTGGGAGGGGCATGAGAGCTGGTAGTATATTATTGCTGCTTGAGAGTGGGTCTATACGAGAGCTAAAATGTATGAAGGTTGAATAGAGAATCTAGTTAATTGCATATTTGTATGACCTTGTTTTGTTACCATCTGTAGGAATCATGAATGTGATAGTAATACATCTGAAAGTTTAGTTACTTGCCTTCTACCTCTTTAACTGATCTCACCACTTACAGTAGGTACACAATATAGGCAAATGCATTTATTGATGTGTGGCAGTGTGGGTCGTTTCACTTGATCGGCTAAGGTTAACAAACACAGTGGGTTTTACTGGTCTCTTGAAATTGTAGAAAGAAAGAACAATTTCTTTCTGTGCAATAAATTGTTCAGAAATTCAGCTTCTAGTTTTGTTAAGACACAGCTTAGATTAAAATTGGCTGGACAAAGATGGGAATTAATATTTTTTGGGGGGAAGATTGACGGCGTGATCTAGTTGAAGAAAAGAATAAGGGAAAATTGTTTTTGAGATGGTCAGTCAACTTCTATGTGGACTCTTAACTACACTGGTGGGGATGCAAGGATCCAGTTAGACAAAGAGAGTGTGTTGTGAGAGGTAGATTCGAGTTGAGATGAATTTGGATATCGTTGCTATCCTATTGGTGGCACTTAAGCTTATTTTACTTGTTTATCATTTCAGATGGATCTTTATTTTAGTGTAACTAGTTTGGGACAAGAGGCTTTATTTGTAGCAACTAGTAATTAGATATCTGAATCTCTTTTCTAGAAGCGTAATAGGCATATTTCTGTGGGCTTTGAAAATAAATTATTTTCTTATATTCAATTTTTAGTCCTTTTCATGGAAAAAGAACTTCCTATTGGCTATTTGTACTATTTATTACTTTTTCCATTGTCATGGACATATAAAGTTTTGCAATTGTTGTACAAAAGTTTCGTCTGACAGCTTTTCATTTGCTTTTTCAGCATTATTATAATCATCAACCTTGATGTGATTCTTGAAACGTGTGATCTTATTGGTGATTCAAAACCATGCACACTTTGTCCCCTCAAGGGGCCTCCTACATCAGTGGCTGCAGCACCTATGCAGTTCCAGTCCATCAATCAACCAGCAACAAGTATGGGTAGTCCTCAAACCTTCATGGGCGGTGTTTCACTTGCTGGCTCTGTTCCACGCCCTAATCTTAATGCCAGCTCTTCAATTTTCCCTCCTCAACAGGAGCATAGCACAGGTTTAAATTCTTACGGCAACTCAACGAGTAACCATCCTGGTTCAGGACGATTTAATTTGGCACATGCACCGCCTTCTATGCTTCCAAAACCAGATTCTGTTACTTCTACTTCACGTCCGCCTGCAAACAGTTATGTGCGTCCAGTCCAACCTACATATAATCAACCCCCTCCTATGTATATGAACAGGGGACCTATGGCAAAAAATGAGGCCCCTCCTAGGATTATCCCCATTGCTGCTCTGAACCCATATCAAGGTAGGTGGACAATTAAAGCTAGGGTGACTGCAAAAGCAGAACTTAGACGCTATAACAATGCAAAGGGAGATGGAAAAGTTTTTTCTTTTGACCTTCTCGATTCTGATGGTGGAGAAATAAGAACAACATGCTTCAATGCTGTGGCTGATGAATTTTACAACCAAGTTGAGGTTGGTAAAGTTTATTATATTTCAAAAGGCAGTGTGAAACCTGCTCAAAAAGCTTTTAATCACTTGAAGAACGACCATGAAATTATGCTGGACAGTACGTCAACGATACAGCCTTGCATTGATGATGACACTTCAATTCCACAACAGCAATTTCATTTCCGTTCCATTGCTGAGATTGAAGGCTTAGATAACAATAGTATTTTGGATATCATTGGTGTAGTTTCTAGTATCACCCCTTCATCCTCCATAATGAGGAAAAACGGTACTGAAACCCAAAAAAGAACCCTTCAGCTGAAGGACATGTCTGGAAGAAGTATCGAGGTAACTTTATGGGGAAACTTTTGCAGCACAGAAGGCCAGACACTCCAACAGATGTGTGATTCTGGAGTATTTCCTGTTTTGGCTGTGAAGTCTGCTAGAGTGAGCGAGTTCAATGGTAAGTCCGTAGGGACCATATCCACAAGCCAATTATTAATAGAACCTGATTTTCCAGAGGCCAGCAAACTCAAAGCATGGTTCGATAATGTTGGGAGGAATACCCCTTCTGTTTCTCTATCCAAGGATACTATTGGCCGGACAGATGTACGAAAAACTGTATCCCAAATTAAAGATGAAAAGCTAGGGACCTCTGAGAAGCCAGACTGGATCACAGTCAGTGCCACCATATGGCATATGAAAGTTGAAAACTTTTGCTACACAGCATGCCCCCTCATGATAGGTGATCGACAATGTAACAAAAAAGTTACAAATAATGGAGATGGAAAATGGCGTTGTGATAGGTGTGATCAGACTGTCGAACAATGTGATTACAGATATATCCTGCAGTTTCAAATACAAGACCATACTGGTATAACATGGGTAACTGCATTTCAAGAAAGCGGCGAGGAGATAATGGGTGTTTCTGCAAAAGATTTGTATTGCATAAAATATGAAGAGCAAGATGACGAGAGATTCACAGAAACCATACGGAATGTCCTCTGTACTAAATGTAATTTCAAGTTAAAAGTGAAGGAAGAGATATTCAGCGACGAACAGCGTGTGAAGTGCACTGTTGTCAAAGCTGAGAAGATAAAATTTTCATCCGACACAAGCTTTTTTCTTGATTTGCTTAAAAAAGAGGAACCAAATTCTTTGGGCCCAAAGATGGAAACCCCCATTTTAGGTTCTAATCTTGATCCCCCAAATGCTGGATTTAAAGAGTCTGCTCCCTTTACCAATTACATGGGGAGTGCTAGTGGTGCTGCTTTACCAGCAAGTCAGATGGGTCACTATGTGAATCCATATGGAGGTTCCAGGCTTGGTACTAGCTGCAACAGCTGTGGTGGCATAGGCCATAACTCTACAAACTGTCCAAGTGTTGTAAATGCCCAAGGATACACCTCTGGAGGAAGATTTAACAGTATGCCTTCTGTGCCTTCTGGAGGTGGAAATGCTGCTGTATCAGGTGAGTGTTATAAATGCCATCAACCTGGACATTGGGCCAGAGACTGTCCTGGTGTGAATAATGTTTCTTCAGGCTATGGTAATGGAAATGTGGCTTCAGGAAATATGGGAGCACGTCTGGGTAATAGGTCCGTTGGTGGTTATTGACTTTTAGAGGTATGCATTCATATACCCCTCTCTTACACCACACACTGGACTACCACATGTGATGTGCTAATGACCTCATATGACAAAAATGAAATAATAAATTTCGGATACCCTTGATTTTGTTCTACATATCACCTGCTTTCTGTAATGGCATGTGAATGGGTTGGTGGACTCGAATCTCATGAACTAGGAGACTAAATGTGTACTATCACAAAGAAAAAGGAATCCACAGAGGGATCAATACAAAATTCTTTTGGCAACCATTGTATCGACATTTGGGCCAAGTAGCCCGTAAGATCTATGCCAAGCACCTGCTTTCACATTGTCCAGGCAAATTTTATGTTTTTTGGCCAACCTCTCTTGGGATTTGATTACACCTAGTTGGAGCTAAATATGTTGTAGGTGTGGTTGGTATGTGCAAGTGAGTCGTGTATTAAGAAAACAATTAACAGCAGCCAAGTCTAAGGTTTTGTTGGCTTTTTTACCAATTTTATCATGAACTTGGGCAAATACTTTGCAAGACTTTTGAAATGATGGGTGAAAATTTGAAGTACAGATAGAGGTTTTGGCCATATAACATATGAACCTTTTACAAAACCGACTTAAGAAAATATAAGCCTTTAGTGTATTTTCAAGTTTTTATGGGCATACTATTTTACCCTAGAGGCATGTTTAACGCCAGAGGCAGATGGAGGTCATTGAGTTCAAAAAAATTAGAAGGTCAAGGTTCTAATTGAAAACTCATTCAACGACCCATGTAACATGTGTTTGGAATTTTTTTCCTTATAGTTGCGGCTCTACTGTTAAATATTGATGTCGGTTTATTGAAAATGAGTATTGGCTTATTATGTGCATGCAGATTCTTGTAGCAATAAAGCCAGGTGTCTCAGTTTTGGGCAAAAGTTTTGGTGTTTCTAACTCGGATAGAGCAGAATGGCGCACTGGTAAGCTTGGATCATTAGATATGTTTATTTGCAAGTAATGGTGTTTTCTTGTGTTGGGTAGCAGGCAATGTTTGTGTATATAGATTGTTTATGTCTTGTAAATTTTGATCTATGTGATCCATATACAACTTCTGCTACTTGTGGAAACTTATTAGGTGAATTTGATGCTTTTACTTTTGGCTGTGGGATTACATAAACAATGGTGCTTATATAAGTATTTCTCATATTAGTACTGATACTAGTCATGGTGTGTGTTGGAGTCACAATAGCTACACATCCTCATGCTCAGTGTAAGAGGTCTTTTAGAGAGTGATTCAAACGGGTTTCATATATTCTCACATGATATAAAAGTCAGGGTTTGAAACATCTAGGATGTGTTTGGTATGCCAGGGGATTGGACAAAATTGAACTGGCGAGGATGAGATAGGTAGGTGAAAGAATTGTGCAAGGTTTTAGGGTTTTAATTTAGATGCAGGTAGTGTAGTAAGTTATGAAGCCTGTCCCATCTCATTGATTTTTGTTCCGTCTATTTTGGTGGGATAGATAAAATGCATTTTATTATGCTTAATTCTATTTGGTCCTAATTTAATTGTCACAGCGAATGTGAGACAGTAGGGACTTGACACACTCTTTCATTTTCGTTTTAGGGGTCAAGGGGCATGGTTTATGGAGTCTCACATCGGTTTGACATAGAATACCAACTTCTCTATATGTTAGGAACTTCTTTTCTTCATGAGAGGGTTTTTAAGCATTATTTAGAGGGGTTTCACATGTTCTCCCGTCAAGTTTGCCGAGTTTGGCTTTTGATTTTGTTATTTTCAAAGTTATCAGTTATGATTAAACATCATCACGTACAGGTTTCACAAAAACTCTCCCACTCAAGAATACGTTGCTGGTCGTTGAGATATTCACTTTTTCGTACTTTGTTTGACGATGTAAACATTTTCTGTGTTTTTTAAACAAAAATACAATTAAAAAATTTCATGTGTGTAAATTGAATATATATTAAACAAACATTTTATGAAACAAATATATTAAATTGTAGTCTTGGGTCGAAAAAATCATGTAAATAATTTTTAGGTTAATAATTCTCAGAATTATCACAATATATACGGTTTATAAATGATTAAAAATCATAAGAATCAATAATATAAAATAAAATAATAAAATTTAGAACATTCGTATGTTTTTTTGATAGACATTCAGACATCTTTCCATTAGCTTAATACCTTTTATTTTTCAGTCGTCTTTCCATAGCCCACATTTTGACACATTGTTATTCCATTGACTGTAAATAGGATTTGGTGGTTCAGCACCACAAAAAGAGGTTTTCAAAGCAATTTGTCTTCGCCATTCATAATTATACTTTCACGACTAAGTTAAAAAGGGTAGATCACTCTCTATACCGTTTCCACTGTATCGGTCCCACTAGTAGTAGATGCATCTTTAAGGTGAATCAAAAGTTCATGAAGTCACAGGTTTGATTGGAGGGAGAAGTCGACATGGTTTGATGGATGAGAAAGTCAATTAAGTCGATTTCAGGAAAAAAAATGCATTTTTTTCAAATTGAATCGACCTTGACTTTTTGAGGAAAACACAAGACTATATCTTACGACCGACATGTTTTTAGTTGAATTTTGTCAACGATTTTTTTTGGTTGATTTCATAAAATGTTCCAACGTTTTGTATTTGATATTGATTGACCTCTTTTTTAGGGTTTCAATTTCGTTTCCTTGTGCATTTAGAACCCCTAGTATCAAATAGAATGTTTTGCAAATCAAAATTAATCGAACAAACCAAGAGGAAAAAACTTGTATTTTTTGGGAAAGGTAATCATCAAGAACATGACGATTCATAAGAAGATGTAATTAATCAACAAAAAATGGAAACAAATTTTAAAATGTTGATGAAATTAATAGAGAATCCAATGTGTCGTTAAATTTGATTCAAGGGTTTATGAAAGTGATTTAGGATTAAAATAGATTAGAGTAAAAATAAAAGCTATTAGGTTTTTAGTTTTGAAAAAAAAAATTAAAAATTTGTCATAGGTAAGGATCAAACCAAAAAAATACCAAAGGGCCTTTGGCCTAGCGATATCAAAGACCTTCTAAAAGATTAAGGGTTCAAACCTCACCAGAGGTAAAGAGGATGTGTGGGATTATTTGTTGCATTTTACATAAATATTATATACTAAAAAAAAGGATCAAACCAAAAACCTCCTATATGGGGAGTAAAACAGCTAATATAGAAACTCTCTCAAGGATCATTTGACCACACCATAAATTAGTTAAACAAAATAGAACACATAACCCGTTAAGATGTCACATTATCCAGAACATCATTCACTCGGTAACATTTCCAGACCCGACTCCGTGTGAGATTTATTGGGTTTGTTTTGTCTGGTTTCATAAGCAGTATAAATTGATGGTATATTTACTGGCGACATTGAACACAACGGACACAGTTTGTGGTTACGTATATAATTATCATCTCGGAAACAGAAATGACGACAAATTGTAACTAAAAAAGCCACACAGCTTTTGCCAGAAAACAGAAGAGGTCAATTCGGAAGCTGATATATCCACCATATTTTGATAAGAATAACATGTGTACGATCGATGTGAAGAGATATAGATAAGCATTTACTTGGAGAGATCAGGCCGTTTGCGTTTTGAATAGAACTTGTCATTTCTCCGCATGTAGAATATGAACCGGTAGGTCTAGTTTCCGCTAGCAAGATTCAGTTTTTGTAGCTTTGCTTTCGCTGTATCAAGTTGTTCTGTTTCATAGAAATGATAAAATGTTAATAACAGTAAAAAGTAGCGAAAGTAACAGCAGCATATGCATATAAGAAGACATGATCCTACGCTGTTCGGATGCTGTGGCCTGTTGGGCACTTGTACGGAAGAAAATGTTCCCATTTTTCTGATAAACGGCCTGTAGTCAAGAAACATTAATCAAATTTCTGTAGCTTGAAGATAACGACAGCAAGAATAACAAAACATACATATTCTTATTCACACCACAGAGGCAATAATCGGGAATGTATATATCAACATACACATGGAAAGATGTTGAATTTTTTGTTAGCCATAAGAATGAAACAAGCCCTTAGAGCATCTCCAATGGGGATTCTTATAAGAACCTACTTTTTGTACTTCTTATTGCTAACATCACTTCCAACTCATCAAATTAAGAACCTAGATAAAGACCCACAATGGTAGTTCTTATAAGAACCTCTTTTGTAGATCCCAGATAATAATATATACATATAGGATTAGGTTCCGGTGAGGATGAAAGTCATGATGAGAAGGGTAAGAAGGGATTTCCACCATTGGATCAATCCTAATTGAAGAGAACCATTACATCTACACCAATGAGATGCACTAGATCAATTCTCTTCTAAAGCGCAATTCATGGGTTGTTTTGTGATACCAAACAACTAGATCATAACTTACATTTACAGTCATAGATCCAGAACTAGCTAATTCACTCCTTCATATGTAATCAAAGAAAAACTCTTGACATTTTCCACCCAGATTTAAAGGAAATGGCCATTTTTGCTCCTTCTCCACTTTATGGCTACCTTTTCAACCAATTGACTGAAATAGCCAAGATTTCGCACGTAGCATTTTAGCAACATACGAAATCCACTTTCTAATATGATATTTATAAAGTAGAAATTTTGCAAGTTGCTAAAGTGTTACTTGCGAAATGCTACCGCGGAAGTGCCATTTAAGCAAGTGGTGCTTGTAACGTAGCATTTCACAATTAACACTTTACCAAGTTGCTAAATTGGTACTTTATAAATATTAAATTCATAACAAGTAGATATCATAAGTTGCTAAAAGAGTTACTTGCGAAATCTTGGCTATTTCGGTCAAATGATTAGAAAAGCGACTACAAAATGAATTGCGGAGTCTAGAATGGCTATTTTTGGACAATTTCCCCAGATTTATTTTCACTCCTTTATATAATCATTGTGGCCATGAGTAAATCCCTAGAAATTAACAAAATCATCTCCAAACTTACCAATCCTTTCCCCTGAATATGTGTGTAATTATGGGAAGAGTGAATCTTTCTACAATAGAAAATGTATTGAACTTGGTGGTTACAACTATGGAATCCAATGATTTCATTTGAAGCGAAAATTGATGTTCGAGTTCCCAAATCAAAAGCCGGCGAGGGAGAGGGCATAAATTAGGTGATCAACGGAATCGAAAATACATTCAACATTAGTAAGCAATATGAAATAGGTACCCTAGGCCTAGAGGAAGAGAGCGCAGCGAGCTCGGCTATGGAAACCTCGTGACTCCTTATCTGTATGCAATCAAATCAACATACATTCAAACTCTTCGGAAGCATCATGATCTATAATTTCTGAACTAAACTTCAACTCGACAAAGATAAACAAAAGAGAAAGGTGAACCTTCTTAAGAAGTGAATGAGTAGAATCCTCAGCAGCAGCCATGGAGGATGCAGGTGAAGAAGTCGCCATTGTTTTCGTCCTTCGCTCCTTCAGTTTCAGCCTTTCAGGTAGTATCAAAATTCATCGATCATCGTCGTCATATTTAAAGTACATGGATTTGGGCTGGCCCGTTTGGCTGGCCCAAAATCCAGATGTGATGTTTTCCATAATGAATGTGATTTGAAAATTGCTCGGTACTACCTTCCTAAGTAGAGTCGTCCCTTGGCATGTTAAATGTGAGATTTTGAACAGAATCTTCGAAAATTTGGGGCCCAAATTTGCCAGTTCTTTATCGACCTGTGTAAAACTATAGCCGAAATTATTTATGTTTAAATCATTAATTGTTTAGTTTTAGGTTCAAATCATTAATGGTTTAGGTTTAGTTCCAGATTGTTAATCGTTTTAGATTTAGTTCATTTTTATTCTTAACATATATTCTATTTTATCTCATTTATGCAATGTAATCAAAAGTTTTGGATGTAACAGGGCTTCCAAAAATATTGGAACGTCCTTGTTCATAAGTAGCAACTCCTCAACTTACGAGTGGTCAAAATGTAGAAATGTAAATTTTTAAACATGTTTTGCAAATACATGGACCAAATATATAAATTAGTCTCAATGGACCTATAACTAATTTACATATTTGATCCTCGTACTTGCATATCATGATCAAAAACTTCTTTTTTTTACACTTTGTCTCCTCTGTAAGTTGAGAAGTTGCTACTTGCAGAAGTAGCGGTATTTTGAAATTTTAGAAAAGAAATGACCAAGAGATAAATGTGTTAGGCTGAAATAGCTATTTTGAGCTGTTTCTCTTTTAAATTTCAGAATTACTCAGGGAAAAATGTATCAAAATGTGATGGAGTTTGATATAATTTTCATTTAGTGTAAAGCTTTTTTCCAAAGATTTATATAACAAAATTCCAAAGTTTCTTATTTTTGTACCGTTTGGACTGAAAAACAGACTGATATGTAAATTGTAACATTTTATAACATGAATATTTGTTTTTTAAAATGGTTACGACAAAGTGGGATGAACTGTCAAAGACCTTCCAGCCTAGTGGTAAAGGTTTGGGCATGGCATAGTCATGAACTCGAGTTCGAACCCTGGGAGGGGAGTGTTGGCGACATTTAAGTGGGGCCATGTTTAGCCTCCAAATTTGCCGGGGATTAGTCGGGCTTTGGCCCGGACACCCTTACNAAGTGGGGCCATGTTTAGCCTCCAAATTTGCCGGGGATTAGTCGGGCTTTGGCCCGGACACCCTTACAAAAAAAAAAAAAAAAAAAAGTGGGATGAACTTAAAAATAACGTAATCAAACAAGATCAGCAGGTTGCCAATTAAAATGAGAAAAAATTGAAACTTTGTTATACTCGGTCGAGAAAAATTAATCTTTATTTATATTAAATAGGAACTAAGAGAATATCGTTGTATTTTTATACATGTTTCTCATTGAATAATTATTTAGAGATGTTTGGACGTGTTGAAAAATAGTGGTCGTGATTTTATAATCTGTAATGCAGTGATCTGCTGTTCTAATTTTTAAGATTGGGAGTATATCCAATAAGTATGCGATATTTTTATACATGTTTCTCATTGAATAATTATTAAGTGGTCAGAACTCAAAATAATTAAGTGGCTCTCATTATATAGTGCAAAATGAAATATAATTGTTTGGTAACTGTTTACAATGAAATTAGAATGTTGAATGGTTAAGGGAGGCCCACGATACAAAATCATTCAGTGGATTTTAGAACCATTAAAAAAACAAACTTTTTTTTTGTCAAACAAAATTCACCTCTTAATGATTCAGAGATTGCCTCTTCTTAGAACTATTACGAGGTAATCAAACAACCTTTTAATTAAAGTTATGGATAGTCGAGTCAATTTAGTATTTATTTTTTTAAAAAAATTATTTTTTCAACTGTTTGTCTTGTACAATATGAAATAACTGAAATCATATAATAAGGTACCGGACAATTTAAAAAGATAAAAAGTTATATGAAATCGTAAAATATCATAAAAAATATTACATAGAAACTGACATGAGATAAAATGACTGTACACCAGTTATAAAATTTAAAGACGTTTGATTAATGGAGAAATAAGTATCGGTCCACTGATTCAACTAGAAATACATATTATTCAAACTGAACGTCCAATCTCAACTAATTAATTACCTAACATTGGTCCGTACCTGTTTTCTTGGTTTTATTTTCTCAAAAAATCCGTTTCTTTCACATAAGCAAGTCCAATCATACACATCTTTTCAAAAACCGATTTATTTATGGCTTTGACTGGTCATTGATCTATGCAGTATAATTTTCTAGGACCGAATCCAGAACCTATCCATCTATCATGTATTTGGGTAAAATCGTCTCACGTCCTCACCTCTTTGCCAACTAAGCTACATTTCAGACACGTTTTTTATCCCATATTTAAAATGAAACTCATCATTTATTTATTTTCCCGTTTCCTTTATTTTAACTCCCACAAAATTTTAAGAGTATAAATTTCTTCTTCTTTTTTATATGTTCCTCTTTTTTATCGGTTATTCTTTTGTCTTTATAAATAAAAAATGAAATAACGTTAAAAGTCAACCAATTTAACCAACTCAATTGATTATATCTATAAATAATCATTTAATTTAATATTATAAATTCCAACTTGTTATAATCGTTTATTTCGATACATTTAATAACAGATAGATGAATTAAATAATGTAACATCTTTATCCATGAATATCACGTTCAATTCGCATGATCATGTTCATGGTCATGCCTCATGCTACAAATGAAACGACACTGTCACCATAGCTTTCAGTTCAATGCATCGACTCATCCAGAATCTCTTTCTTTCATCAACACTGCACATGTTCAATTCAAATGCCAAAAAGAAAACATTACGTATTTGTAATTTCCTTACGTTAGATTATATTAATTTAATTTTAAAACGTAAATACGTATTTGATGTAAAGATTATAGATATTGATCCGTAAAATTACTGATGTGCCAAGTAAATTTTAGTATGATGAGTTATCATTTGATGTTTAATTTTCATATTTGTCATTCTTGTTTCTGATATATTTTCATGTCGAATATGAAATTATCAAAAGAGCGTACTGTGAAAAGGAAAAAAAATTGGTGGTGCGTGTTTGTAGAGTTTTCTAATCTAACCAATCAACAATCACAAAAATTATCTGATGAACGTTGCTCGTCTGCTAAATTTTGTTTATCCAGTATTTTTTTGAGATTTTACAAGAAAACTTTTATCAAAACCCATTTTATTAATTTCTTCCTTTGTTTGCTTTTTATAAAATTGTGATAAATGATTCAAGGATTCCGTTATTGGTTGGTCAAAAGATACGTAAGACTTGTAAGGGAAGATATGAACGACTTTATCAGATTGTGTCAATTTTATTAACTTGGATATCCAATTCATTATGCGAGCCGACTAGTCCCAGGGCAACCACCTGCTTTACAGATAGCCCGGAGTCACCGCATTTGAACCTACGTGGACACAAAGAGATTTTTATTCCTTATTGGATTTGAATTTGAGACCTCCTTATACTTTTGACCTTTAGAGCGAAGTTCAAACTAATCAGATACCATCTTTATCGTTGATTGTGTCAATTTATCGATCAAACAGAAGAAAAGAAGTAGATAGAAATTAGGTGAGTAAACATACCGATGAGGTCAATATGACGTTTTCAAAGTTATGTTTTTATATTATTTAATTCATGATCCAAAAAGAAATCAAAGAATAAACTTTTACAACTCTTTAGGCAACTAAATCAAAGACTACAATTTATTAAGGGAGTGATATATATATATATATATATATATATATATATATATATATATATAT